ACATGTTGAGGAGGTCATTTAGCCATTTAAATCAGCTGTGTTGGATCAAGGACACATCTAAAACCTGCAGGACACCGGCCCTCGAGGCCTGGAGTTTGACACCTGTGCCATAGAGCATATCCTCCCTCTCTGATCTTTTAATAGTTTTGGTTTTTGCTGTTCCTTGCCATTGCTAGCATGAGATGGTAACTGAAATCCATTCAGGATGCACAGGGAATCTGGCCTGTGGCATATCAGTACATGTAGACAGGTTTGCTGTGTCTGCCAGGACATTTTCAAGAATGTGATGGAGATCACGGGAGAGAAGCTATCGTTAAAGAACTGAACTAACTGAGGCTGAAATAGTATACTGTAGTAACCTAAATAATTATAAAGATAATAGGAACACTGAAAAAAAAACATTTTTAAGTAAACTTGGAGGATACCAGGTCTAGAGCTGTGCACCTCAAAGGACTAACACGGGAATTTTGTATAAGTTCCTTTACAGTGGAGTTCAACATTATAAGTGACTATAAAACAACCAAGAATTATGGGTAAAACCAGGTGACAGTTCAATGTCATGCTCACACAGTTACTTCACATTGAGATATTTGGAGTAAAGAAGCCTGGAATGTATGGAAAACAAAGCAGTGACTTACCTTCAGCCTGAGGAAGAGGAGCCTGAGAGGTCAAATCACTGACATTCACTGACAAACAGATGTTGAAAGTGTTAAAGCTCTATGTAACTTTCTCAGTCTGCACTGACTTCCTGTTTGTCCCTTGCTGTGACTCACCTTCGGGTCTGGGCCTGATAACAGACAAACTGAGCAGCAGGTCATTCCTGCCGATCCTCTTTAAAACCCTTCTGGTCACCTCAACAGCTCCAGAAAGTCTGTAGGTCTGCACCATCAAGTCCACGGTGTCCCACCTGCTTGTCGTCTCCAGTCGGCTCTTCTTGATGGTCATGGGGCCTTGAATGACATCGGTCTGCTGTAGGAACCACTTGAATTTATTAAACTCTTCATCTCC